TCCCCTAGGAGTATTTGGCAATATCTAGAAACATTTTTGTTTTTACAACTAGGGACAGTGGGTGGTAGCAGTATCTAGTTTGTAGAATCTAGTGATGTTAAGTATCCTAGAATGTACCACAACAAAGAGTTACCCAGCCCCAAATGTCAACTGTGCTGGAGAAACCCTGTTTTCTATCTAGCTTCCACCAGCCTGGAACATAAAAACATAGACCTTCCACCAAAAGCCCCACAAAATGATATAATGAAATAGGGTAAGATGAAATTTTAAAGCCCAGTGTCTTTGTTCATACAACAGAGATAATATCTATGTCAGAAAGTGGCAGGAAAATGAAAAGAGACAATATAAAAACAGTACCTGGTACAAAGCAATATTAGTGCAAAGTAACAACAAATTGCATAAATTAAATCACAGGACCAGTATGGTGTGGTACTGAAATGAGTCTTAATGAGTCTTAAAGACTTTGTAGTCAAACATCTTCATCTGACAAGAAACCCTCTATAAAGGCTAATGATCTTGCCAAATTCTTGGCCTTAGATCCAACTTTTCATTTTAGTGGCAAACCACATTTTAAATGCACACCTAAGAAAGAAATTGTAAGCTGACTCTCTTAAAACAAATAATTATCTCTTTGGGTTTGGCTTGCAAATACAAGTTTCATAGATATGTATAAATTTGTCTTAAAAATAGTTAGAATATTAACAGAATACTGATTCAGTTGAATAATATTACCAGGCGTTTCACAGGGGGTTATTTTAAAATTACATTTCTGGCATTCATAAAAAATAGGCAAATGTATTAAAATACAAAGTCAAACAAATAATACATTCCTTCTACTGTAGGAGATAGAGTCTGAATCCAGAATAACTATTTAAATAGTTTGTCATAAACCACTCAAATTTTAACAGGCTTCTTGGAGTCTATGCTAAAAAATTAACTACCTTGTAAGGATTTTGTTCTTCTTCCTCTTGAATTGCTAATATATGGAACAAAATCTCTTAGCAAAATATAATTTAGAGGTACTATCTGATTTGAAGTCTTAGATTCTAACATGTTATAGTTTTTAATACAAACATACATATAACCAGAATTTAAACAAATTATGGCAAATAAATTAAAGCATTTATATTTTAACATGTACAGGTTTTATTAGGTGTTCCTTATACAGTCATCTGGTATTTTTAAAGAGTGAGCAATCATATAAAAGGAAATATGGTCATAACTGATTGAAGTAATAAAATCCCCAAACTAAATAACATCTCATAATTCATCACACAGCATATATTAGATTTCATTACATCAGTATATAGCTTAGCAGTAAATTCTCCTGATAGCCATAAACCTCTGAGGTGTTGTCATCCTGAAAAATGAAGGGGAGGAAGCTGGTGGGGGTACAGAAGGGATAAATCTTCCGCTGGTGTGGCACACCATCAGGTGGAAAAGTTGTAGTGTGTCGCCACCTAATGGCATAACTCCTGTCCTTGTTCTAATACAGGGACTGTTTTTAAAGAGCTGTCTCATTCACCTTGTCATTGTATTCTTCTCTGATGCTACAGTTCCAAAACTGAGGGCTGCCCATCGTGTGTTAACAGATCTACTCTTTATCTACCAGGCTGTCAAGCATTTGGTTATGACACTTTTTATGTTCACCTAATTTTTAAATTCCAAGTACTTCGGTAACTTTCAAAGCCACACACAAGATGTCTATATATATATATATTTTTTTTTGGTACTGGGGATAGAACTCGGAAACTTGTGCTTGTGAGGCAGGCACCAGAACCACTGAGCTAAATCCCCAGCCCTAAGATGTCTATATTTTAAAAACACCATACTGATTGTGAATTTGGGATGCCTATTATCGCTATAGGAACTCCGGGCTTTGGCTCAGTTTCTATTCTATTTTTGGATCTTTTTAGCATGTCAGAATTAACACATAGCTGATGCATTAAAAGTGGGTCCTCAAACAGCTACATGAAATTATCACAGTCTACATTTTGGATTTTACTAAGGTTCTAGAATTTTAAAATGGCCAAAGGTGCAGCTAGTGAAGATTTCTTAATTAGCATTTTGGTACCATACATAATCACACAAAGTAGATGATGAGAACTTAGTTCAGGAATGTTATTAAATATTTCTGAGAGACGTGGAATTTGGAACTGGGGGAGAAGGGCTGAGGCCCCACTGTGCTTTACTCTGCTACACCTTGACAACACATAGACTAAGTGATTCTATGAAGTGCACTAGAACAGTGAACATAAGCCAGGTAGCTCTACTTTGTAGATGGAATTGCAAAGTACAGTTAAAAAGAAAATAATAAGGCCTGGGGATTTAGCTCAGTGGTTCTGCCCCCTGCTTTGCAAGCACAAGGTCCCGAGTTCAATCCCCGTACCAAAAAAAAAAAAAAAAAACACAAAAAACTAGAACATGAGCTACTTCTCAATAAAGCACTCTATCTTCCTTCAAGGTCTACAAAAAGCATATATTCAAACCCTAGACCAATCTCAAGTTTTGAACAAAAGATACCAAACACTTTAAAGCAAATGCTGGAAGTTGGAAAACTGCCAATCTAAAAGGCAAAGCAAGGAGACAGTAGTCTTAGGAGTCTCCAACCTAATGAAAGGAGTCACACAGATCCTAGTCCTCCTCTTCCCATCCCAGGTGATGGGTACTTTGTTTTCAAAGGTCAGATATCCAAGGGGGATCAACGGACCCAAAGTGAGAGTGTCTCATTGGTCAGAGGATGAAGAGAGCACCCTGGACCTTGGCTACTGGTCAGCCATTACTCTTGATGGTACTGTGTTTTCCCAAATTACTTCCGTCTCCCCTCTAGTCACAGAGACTAACCCCCACATAGCACTTACTGTGTGCCAGGATCTGTTCTGAATGCTTGACATACATTGTAGTGAGTTGTCACACCAACCCTGTGAAGTAGGTTGTATCATCGGCCCCACATTTGAGCTGAGGAAACTGAGGCACAGAGAGGTTAAATTGTATTCCTAGAGTTACGCAGTAAGTGAACAAATTGAGGCCTGTGTGGACAGATCCAAATTTGGCCGAGTCACTGTCCTATTCGGTCTACAGGATGACAGGTGCCTGTGTCTCAGACACTCCCACAGTGACTGTTCAGATTGAGCAGCTTTTGATAACACAAAAGCTCCCTCCTTCAAATGAAAGCATTTCACCAATGCATTAACAAGTTCTCGGTCTTCCAGTGAACCAAATACTAGTTCTACTTGTTCATTCTCTGTAACAGCAGAACAATTTTAATGGCAGAAACACTGATGTAGCATACTATGGTTTTAAAAGAACTTCTGCATACTTGTTCTTATTTAGAAAGAAGACCCTGCCCTGTTGTCTTGCCACTTTCTTCCATAAGCAGGGGATAGCCTTGAGGCCCCTTAGACCTCAACCTTGGTCAGCTGTTTGATCTCATCTTTTAGCACTGCCTTTAGTCTTGCAACGTTAACAGCACTTTAAATAGCAGGACTGGGCTGGGGATAACAAGCACAACTGTAATCACGGTTGTAAAGGCTGAAGCAGGACTAAGTTCAAAGCCAGCCTGGGCAACTAAGAGAGCTCCTATCTAAAAATGAAAGGTCTGGGAATATGGCTCAGCTGGGAAAGCAGCTTCCTGGGCTGGAAGGTAGGGAGTACCCCTAGATTCCATCCCAGTATCACACACACAGTTTTGTTAAAGAACTGCTTTTTCTATGAGCAAAATCACGATCAAATGAGGATCTAATACATTTAAGAGTAATTTTCAGGATAGATGTTTCATAATAGTCTGAGTATCAGAGGCTCTTAGGGAATCCAATGAAGCTAGTATTTCAGCAACTTTTAAAAGATGCTCTTATGATCACGTTGCAAAAGTCAAACATAATAATCTTTCAAGTTGTGAAAAAAAAAGTATACCTGCACCTTTTAATTATGAATTTTAAACACAAACCTTGTCTCTCATGCTGTTGATGTATGCTGTGAGTTAAGATCCCAATCAGACATCCCCAGCACACACAGCAGCGGCTGTGAACACTGCACCAGGCAGGTCCTGCACATCCTGGACAGCTCACCTCCGAGGAATCTCTTTGCAGGTGGGACCAGTGACACTCAGTAATTCTAACTTCTTTTTTGATACCGGGAATCAAACTCAGGACCCTGTGCTTGCGAGGCAGGTGCTAGCACCACTGAGCTAAATCCCCAGCCCTGAGTAATTCTAATTTCTATTGTAAAAATTAGCCTATAATCTTAAAACTTTTGACTAGTATCCAAACTCTTTAATATACTTTATAACAATGGCTTAAGAGGAAGTGTAATTTATCTTTGTATTGTTGTCTCCCTTTCTAATGTGTTTCCTAACCTACATAGTAGCACAGAAATACATACATATACCTACACAATTCATACATACCTATACTGGGGTGCATATGTAAGTTTTTCCTAAGTGGTAGGATATTCCCATTCCTGGCAAACCAGGAAGTGAACTCTGTCTTCTTTCATTCATTTGCTTCTGAAGCTGAGAGCTGTCTGCTTGAGTGCTCTGTGTGCTTCAAAAAGAGTCACTGGTCTGACACCTGCCTTGAAAGCACAAGGTACCAAGTTCGAACCCCAGTACCAAAAAAAAAAAAAGAAAGAAAAAGTCACTGGTACTTTTTTTTTTGGTACCTGGGATTGAACTCAGGACCTTGCACTTGTGAGGCAGTGGTACTCATTTCTTGCCCCACCTCCTACCCCTACCAGCAAGTCTGCCCTGATGTGGCCTCCAAGTATCTTGCTAAGCTACAAAGGCAATCTATCAGTGATGACTCTGCTTAGTGTAAAATTACATCCCTCAGTACACAGACAGGTTATCCAACCAATAGGGAAGATTAAAGCAGTCTCTCTCATCTCCAAGAAGCAGTAAACACTGACTAAAAATATATTCGAAGTTTGGAAAGAACTGTGAAAGATGAAGTGAGTTCAGTCACTGTCTTGATAAGATTTAGAATTTTAAAAAACTACAACAATGATTATTCAGACATTTATTTAAAGTAGGATGTCTGAAGACTAAATAATTCTTAAAATTATATTTCAGGCTTAATCAAGTTCATAAAAATATTTTGAAGACAGCTGCATCCACAGATTTCAACTGCGATTACTTCTTTGCCCATTCTTCTCTTTCTTCTCTTTCCCGAATAACCTCTTTGAGATACGGTTCAAGGTAGCATTTATCCTAAAGAATGAATAAAACAATAGTGTCACATCCTACCATCACATTCTGATATATCCCAAATACTCAATAGGTCTTAAACAACAAATGAAACCCACAAAAATCAAATATTTCCATTCTCAACTTAAGAAAACATATTCTCAATCAGACTAAGAGCTACTGGCTGTTTAAAATGTAAAAACCCAAGGATATTATACTAAGTTTCTCTGATAGATTATGAGAGGGAAGTCCAGTGGAAAAGACAAACAAGTGCCCACAGACTTCTGCCTGGTTTTGGCGCAGTTACAGGGATGAGGGGTTTGAGGGCCACTCAATGGGCTTCACATGAACACTAAAATCTTTTCATCTGAACAGGAAGCAGAATGTAGAGGGAGAACAGCAATGGCCTACAAGGCAGAAGACCTGGATTCTAGTCCTGGTCTATTAGAGATCTGCTTAGTAATTCTGGAAGAGTTACTAAGTTTCAATGTTTCTCTCTAAGGCAGAGGAAACACCCCTTTAACCTCACTGGGCTGTTGAAAAAAATATTTACTTGACGCAACTTGGGAGAATTCTAAATCACTGTACAAATCAATGTGTTTCACATTTCCAAAACTCTGGTACTTAAAAGCTATCCTACCTCCTCATATTTTGTCCACTGTTCTTTCGGCAAGATCTGATGCTTCAGGGTCAGGTCCAATGCTCTCTTAATGCGAAACATCCTATCATTATACAGGTTCTCGGGAAGCCTTCTTATGGCTTCTTTTACGTCTTCGTCTTCGTACATTGTATCATCACGCATTAAGCCTGTTAACGGAAAATAAAACATTACATTGAACATGCATGTCAAATATCAGGTATTAAAAAACAAAGAATAAAATATCTGAGTTATAACTTAAGATTCAGTGAAATACCCAGAGTTCAAATCACCAGGTATGATGGAAATTCAAAGTATTTCATACATACAATGATTTACTCCTTGAAATATATAGGTCTCTTAGACTGCATCACCACAGAAGACACATTTCATCTAAACTAATTCTGAAAATATTTAAAGTGTTTACCTTGTCCTTAAATATACATCAATAAACCACATCTCTACTTTCTTGTACTTTAAATCTGAAATCAAGATACTAAAGAATCTTAAAATCACAGTGTACTACAGAACCAGTAACATTTAATGATGCTTCTATTAAACTTCAGTAACAAAAGATGAAGCTCAGGGAAAATTATAAAGTTCTACAAAAAGTTCACAAATCATTATTACTGTAAAGATGTGAGAAAATTTCAATATTTGAAAAACAATCTCCATATTCAATGTTTGTATAACTTAAATTTTAAAATTTTAAGAGCTGAGAGGGAAAATATAACAAGGAAATTGTCTGGCTACCATAAATCATTCCCCTCAAGCATTTTAAAGGACTTTATGTCTCTCCTCGCAAAACAAGCAAAAACAAACCCCCACCCCCCAAAAGGCAAAAGAAAGCACAGATACTTACCCAGCTTATTGAACCCTGCAGCACTGTAATACCATTTCCGAATACCACCCAGCCACCGGCCTGATGCTGCAACTGATAGCACACTGTTAGTTGTTTTTTTGTTGTTGGTTTGTTTTTGTCCCCCAGTACCGGGGATCAAACACATTGTTGGTTGTCACAGTTCACTTATTTGTATGAACAAGTGAACAACCAGCACTTAGTTATCTTTTTACAAACAGAAGGAATTCCCTTTTAAAAGTTTATATACTATATGCTGTAGATAAGCAGCTGCTTATTTTAGCTATGAGCAAGAGACTGCAGGTAAAAAATTAGTGGCAAGTCGTAGGAGGAAAAGGTGAACTCAAACACCTAATATACAAAAGATTCATAGGTACAATCAGTGCCACTTCAGCTTCTTAGTGTCCGAGATCCCAAGTCCATATGCCCCCTTACGTATGTCAGAATGGAGGGGTGGGAGGCAGGAAGGGGACTTGGAACATTTTTACCATTTGTAGTTTCAAAAATAGAATATTTAGCTATTCAAGGGTAACTAAATTTTTTCTGTTCAAAGGTGGTAGAACTGCATGAAAACACAAATGAGATTTCAGGATACTCTGGCAGGTTTACAGACTCATCATTTAAACCTTTTAGTCTACATTACCATTATTTCTCTTGGCCAACCTCTTTTAAAATATATGCATTTCTGGAAGGATTTTTAGACCATTAGTCATTTAAACATTAATATGGATTAGTAAAAGAGGGTCATTTTCCTCCTCCCAACTAAATAATTTTCCATCAAGGAAATGAACATTTGAACATGGAGGAGAAATAAGTAATATTAAAACACCATGGGGAAAAATGCTAAGCCTGACAGAGTAAACCACTAAGGCAGTGATGGCAAACTGCACCCATAAACTCACTTATTTATTGCAAAGTGCCAAGGCTGCAATTAAACTTGAGTATCCATCTGATGCTCGGCTGCTGGGGTGACTTGGCTTGCATGCTGACAGAGAGGGGCTCTGTGTGCCCTCTGTGGCACAGGTGCCATAGGTTTGCCACTAATGCACTAGGGTCTAAGAAAAACATGACAGTGCCTGATGTTCACAGGAGAAATGTGGTACAGGTGGGAAGACAGAGCAAGTTTAAACTTTCTTTTAAATTTTTGGCTACATCTAGGCCCTTACCAAGGAAGAAAAACAAACTGTCCTTTTACTTCAACTTCTGGCCCCCTACTCCTTAGCATATTACAGATTGCATGGCTTTGGCATATCTCCTTAGAAATTAAGGGCCATGTATAAAATTCTTCTAGAAAAAAAGTATCAAAAGTTAACAATCTAAAGGGGCCGGGGATTTAGCTCAGTAGTTCCGCAGCCTGCCTTGCAAGCACAAGGACCTGAGTTCAATCCTCAGTACCAAAATAAAAAAAAAAAAGTTAACAATCTAAAACATATTTGCTCACCATGAGTTCAGGGCCAGCCTGGGGTACATAGTGAATCTAAGACGAGCCTGAACTATGTGGTGAGACCCTGTTTCCAAAAAAAAAAAAAAAAGAATAAACAAATAAATAAAAATAAAACATTTGTAGAAGTTGAAGACAAGTATTTGTGAACATATTTACCAGTGACGTTGATAATGATTAATATTCACTGAATACTTATTATGTGGCAGGTACTCTCCTGCTTGTTTCACTTGTGATATGCCTGTTGTTGCAGAAAAGGAATAGGCCTTACAGAAGTGGTATTAGTCAAGTCAGAGCTTGTTAGTAAAAGTAGGTCTATGTGCTTCCCGAACAGCACAGAAACATAATGCCTTGGATTTAGTAAAGCTCCTTAAATATTTATCAAACTAGTGAAATAAGTCTTAAATATTTTCTCCATCCCCAGAAACCTCAATGTCATTTAGGTTAACAGATTTCCCTGCCAATCTGATGTTTTCTAATGGTTTCACAGCTGCAGGGCACTGGGGAGAAGGGCACCAGTAATTTTTCAATTTAAACCGCCAGAGAGCAGAGATTAAAGAGGAGAGCACTACAGTATTTGAGATGCACGTTATTTTTAAATATTCCGGGAATTTCTGCATTCAGGTCATAATAAAGGCGTCTAGATTCTCGTGGCTACGATTAGGTCAAGTTTCTCCAAACACAGATCACGCTCACGTTCAGAAAAACCAAGGTGGACTTGAAGTTTCACTATCAACCTCTGTGGGCTGCTTCTATTTCTATTAAGCTCGAGGCACGGGACGAGGGTCTCCGATCCTTTTCTTCCTGCCACTTTACCTGTTTTATTAAGGACAAACAGGAAATCGCACTGGTAGGATTTGTGAAGTACACGCACAAGACAGGGCAGGGCACACTGTAAGCACTCAATGCGCTTTGGGTGAATGTCAGTCATCCGCTAATTAGGTCCCTGCGGCCTTGAACTTTGCAAAGACAAAGGGAAGGACTCGGGATACCGGCAGCCGCGCTGAGGGCTGAGAGCCACCGCGAGGCCCTTCAGCATTGATGAGCTCGTCCCACCCCTCCCGCAAGCCCGGCCCGGGTACGGCAGAGCACGTCCTCTTAGCAGGACTGAAGCCGTCACCTTCCCTCACGCTGTGAACGAGAGAGCAGAAGAGGCGCGAGTCACTGCGAAAAATAAAAGGCTGAGCGCCACGATGCCCACCCAGACAGGACACCAGGCACTTACCCGCAGGCCTGCCCGCCATTTTGACCCCAGAGTGCAGTGATGTCTTCTGGGTAAGTCCTAGAGGTCGCGCCGGGAGCGCAGCTAGCGAGGACGCCTGCGCAGGCGCAGCTCTGACGGCTGATTTGGGCACCTTCGTGTTGCTCCACCAGGCGGAGGTCAATGGGATAGGCTGAGTGTTTTTGCGCGCTTGTTCCGCTCAAGAAGCATTCTTTGTGAGTGACAGGAAAAACACTAGGAAAGGAATTAGGAACCCCGGGCCTAGCCCACCCAGCTTACTGGAGTTTGGACTATATTAATTGAGCCGTTGGAGCCAGGCAACATGTTAAACGTTTTTCAGGAGGCATTTCAGTACGAGGGGGATGAAGTCTTGGTTCCAGGAGCTGGGGAATTTCTTAAATTCCTTGTGTAAAATGCTGTAGTGTTTGCATATTACGTACCTACCGCGTTCTCCTGTACTCTTTAAATCATCTCTAGATTACACCTAATACAGTGTAAATGGTATACAAATAGTTATACTGTATTATTTAGGCATAATGACGAGTCTATACCGGTTCAGTATAGAGGCACATGCCCCAAATATTTTCCGTCCGTGGTGTGTTGAATCCAGAGATAGAATTCTCAGATATGAAGAGCCAAATGTGTCTTCATTTAATTCTAATCCTGTGGTGTAAATTCTATGATTATCTCTATGATAGGAGGAAGCTGAGTCTTCACTGGTTAAACGACTATGCGAATGTAATGGCACATCCTTGTAATCCAGCACTGTGGGAGACTGAGGCAGAAGGATTACAAGTTAGCAATTTAGCGACACCCTGTCCAAAATTTTTGAAAGGGTGGGGATGTAGCTCTGCAAAGGCCATGGCTCAATACTCAGTACCAAAAAAAAAAAAAAAAAAAAAAAAAAATTGAGTTGAATAACTTGTGGGAGGGCACACGCTGGGAAGAATTACAGATTCCAGAATCTGAGAATTCAGATGTAAATTCAGGCCTCTTTAATTCTAGTTTACATTCTACACTGCTAATCCAGGAAAAAGCCTAAATCTCTGTTCTTAAGTCTCTCCAGCTGATAATTATATCAAGCCATTTTGGTGGAAAGTTAGGTCAGAAAAGTTCTTAAAATACTAAATCTAAGATATATTACAGAATTTACATATAATTTTGACAAAGTGCATAATTTGACCACTTTCAGGATCTCAGCCTTAAGATGTGAAGGCTAATGCACACAAATCTAGGGACAGAAAATAATTCAGGAAATTAGCATGACTAATTGTTACTAGTTCTCTTCTGCTACTACCCAACAAGATCTACTTTTTTTGTGGTTTTGTTTTCCAGTTTTAAGCTGAGACCTGTGGCAGTAGAGAAAGAACTCTTTTCTCCTGGTAAATTCAAAATATTAACTTAATGCTGTAAGTCACATACCAGTTCTAAAATAATATTGCCTTCTCCCTTTTTCCTGTCTCTGCTACCCAATTTCTCATTTGACTCAGTCCTGTATGCAGCCCTAAACATTGACAGATGGCTGCTTTCAGCCTATACTACCAATGTGAACTCTGATAGGAGGGAAGAAATGCGATACATTTGTACACTGGCACATTGCCTGGCAAGCAATGTGGTATTCAGCACACTTGTTCTCCTTACCCTTTAGTGTTGGTTAAAGTCCAGGTGGGAAGAAAAGGAAAACCTTACATCAAGGCATCAGATACCCAGGACTGTCACAAAATACAGCTCCTACAGGCATTAGGCCTGGAGCCCAGATGTGTGCTGGTAGTTGTTTTTGTTTTTTTAACCATCTCACCTGGTATAGGGTTGATTGTATTTCTTTACCCCTTTAAACATTAGGTGTAACCATGTGATGCGTTGGGAAAAGAAAAATCTTTATGAGCAAATTTCCACATACCTTTCCCCTTCCATAGACTGGCAACACTGTAGTCACAGCAGAAAAGTCCAGCATAGATCAACGTGTTATCACTGAAGATGACGTGGAACACCTCTGTGGTTGTGAGGGAAATATGGGTAAGAAATCTTTATCGTTTTAAAGAATCTGATGTTATAGGATTGTTCATTACAGCTGCACAGCTAGCTTATTCTGACGGGAGTTGTCTGTAAAGGCAAAGTGAAGTTCTGAGGCACAGTAAGACTGGGCAGGCTAGTTTAATGATATGACTCCAAGCTGTACCTTTCTAGTTTCCTGTTTGATCTTATCCACTTAAAAATTTCATGAAAGTACACACCCATGTCACAGTCACCACTGTATTCTAGGACCATTCAAATGTCTGTTGACTGAACAAGTGAAATATTTGATAGGAAGGACACTATATACTTGGCTCTGAGCAATTACAAATTTAGTTTCATACAAGGGTTCTTTCCAGACACCCAGCACACCACAAACCCCTGGTACACAACAAATGGCTCCCAATGTTACTGGCTTAAAATACTTTTAAAAATCCCAAATCCAGCTGGGTAGTTTTAGGTAAGGCTGGAAAAACTAACATACATTATCATCCTCACTCACACCTGTTCAGTTGGCATGGCTAGACCAGCTGGGGTTTAGCCAGGGACTTTCCTCTCCACCTCAATTCTTCAATAACCAGACCTCTTTACATAGTGGCTCTGGGCCCCAAGAGCAGATGTTCTGAGAGGACAAGACCCAGTGTGCAAACACTCCTCAAGCCTCTGCCTGATTATGTCCCATCAACCAAACCACTTTGGCCAAGTCAGTATGGGAAGAGACTTTTCAAGTGCACAAATACCACGTGTGGTTCATCAGGCACCACCAGGGTTTACAGTTTACCCAACAGGTAATCCTAAAACAGGTGTGTGGCCATAAAGCCTCATTTTATAGAGAAAGAAGCAAGCACTCAGGAGGAATTATCAATTCATATTATAAATCTTTGTGTGCTGGCAGTAAGTCAGAGGCTTCTTATGGCTGCTACTATGTCTCATTGCATTCCTCTTTTCTTCAAACTTTCTGATCTCTTTCCCTTTCCTGATTTTTAGTAGCCAGCTGAGGACAACCTTGAATGTCTGTGCTCAGGAAGGTAACACTGTACATTATCCTAAATGGAATGTTTTTAGCACTTTTGTAGTATTAGCTATTAGACATTTCAAAGGAAATAGAGCCATCTTGTGATAATACCACTTTAAAAGACCTGTGGATGCAAAAGCAGAAAAATCTCCACTACTCCCAGCTTCACCAGAATGACAAAGTGCCAGCACATGTAAACTCCTTCCCTTTCTCTATGTTTGCTATATTTTAGTTTTCTCCTTCCTTGGAAGGATATAGGTGACTCAAACAAAAATTAAGTCTCTAGGAACCTCTAAGAAATATCTACCAGAGTATGTACCCAAATATAAAGAAGAAATTTTTTCTTGTATCAACTGAGACCTGAGGCGTTTATTTAAAAATACATTCATTTATTCATGTATGGATTCATTTTACAGTATTACTTTTTTTTTGGTACCAGGGATCAAACTCAGGACCTTCCGCTTTCGAGGCAGGGACGATGCCACTGAGCTAAATCCCCGGCCCTCAGTATTACTTTTAATATTCATCAAGAACTAAAGAGTCTTTAAGAATTTTTCAAAGTCCTGTATTGAAGCTTTGGCAATCTCTTCACAAAAGACTTCATCAGGAATAGATACTAATTTGTCCAAAGAGATGTAGTTAGGTTTTGCTGGGTCGTACTGCGCTCTTCCTAAATAGGCAAGAAACAGGTGTCTGTCTTTGACTTTAAACAATCTTGTATTAAATACCTGGAAAAGAAAAAAAAGTTCAAAACACTACAATAAAAGATGAAATACTTAAACATTTACTCAACTGTTTTAATAAGTTAATAAAATACTGACCATATCCTCAATAAATGTAATGCCACAAGATTTAATACTGTTTCTGTTAAGAAATTATGATTAAAAGAAAAAATTATGATTAAAGGGGCGAGTAGTGTAAATCAACAGTCAAGTACATGGCTAGCATGTTAAAATTATTACATAAGCAATTATGATTAAAAAGGGACTCAAAAGTAACAAACGGAACAATAATAAAATAGTTCAGTGCTACACCATGGGCAAAGAACACAGACTACTGGGGTGGGGGGTGTTAGAAGAGCAAATCCTCAGATCTTACTCCACACCACCTCATCACGAACTCGGGGAGTGGGGCCCAGAAATTTGTTTTATAAGCGCTCTAGATGATTCTGTTATCTGCTAAATGTTAAGAACCAGTGTCAGAAATCAAAATTTATGTCAGCAAAAAAATTTAGATTTCATAATCTACAAAACTTTAAAATTTCTCCTGCTTCCCAACTAGAATCAAAATGAAATGAATCTGACTTTTCTGGGGAGCAACTAGGTAAAGTGTGTCTTACCCACTTAGGGTTATTAAGCCGGGAGAGGGCAGGAATCAGAGGCAGGCCGAGTCCTCACAGCCTGCTGCAAGACAGGAGGGAGGCCTGGGAAGCCTGGCAAGTCTGGTGAAGCGCAGAGATCCTGCCTCAGCAGGGCACATGACTCCTACCCTCTGCCCCTTTCCCAATTTTCAAGTGGAAACAATAACAAGAGCTCTTTTGGACAGGACACTCTGAAAAATTATTGTAAACTTACTTGCTTTGAGAATAGTGACCCCAAAAAAGTCCTTAACTCAGCATGAGGTTGGTGTGCTTTTGGAACAAAGTATCTTTTTCTGTCTGCGAAACAAATGACATCCTAGTCTGCCCTCGTTTTAGTAACTAAATTCTCACTACCACATTATTATTGTAAGATGCAAAATGCTTCAGTTTTAGTTTGTTTGTTTTGGTACAGGGGATCCAACTCTGGACCTTGGGCTTGCAAGCCAGGCTCTGGAACCACTGAGCTAAATCCCTAGCCCTGTTTTAGTTTTTAAAGTATAGCTCCTAGGCAGCGACTCTTGGTTTACAAAATTGTCATACAAGACCACAAATGACTGAGGCTCCCAAACTATGGTTAATTTCGTAAGTAAAATAACAGTGAAGCATTTCCTGGCTTGTGACTAGATATTAGTGTACTTTTCCAAAGATTCAAGTTACTTTATCATTAGGGAATTGTGTGCTCTTCCCAGTCCAAAGATAAAGCTCAGATTGAGTTGTTTCCTCTTTTTCTCCCCCAGTACTGGGGATCAAACTCAGGACCTTACGTTTGCCAGGCAGGGGTGGCGCCACTGAGCTACATCCTCAGCCTTTTTTTCCTCCTCTTTAAAAAGAAAACAAGGAGGAGGAACTAACTGCCTATCAAGGACTACTTTGCCATTGTCACAAAAATTTCATCTTGTTAATGATACATTAGTCTCAGGGACAGAAAACAAAAGCCCTAATCTACAAGTTACCGATCCTCTCTTATCCTAAGGTTGGACCTCCACTTTGCCTTCACAGTAAACCTCAGAGGGAGGGCAGAGACAAGCTTATAGGGGCTCCTGAATATAATCTCCTTCCTTAGGATAGTGACTCCCTCACGTATAGTACTGGAACTGCTTTTATTTTCCTTCACCTACCATTCCTTTAAAATAACTGAATCAAAGTTAAATTACAGTTCTCTCTCTAATTTTAATTAGTCATAAGCTATATCTGCTGACCAGAGCTGTTACTGCATGAGAATATTAATTTCACATCACCAAGTTTTGTAACACTTGCCAAAAATTTAAAAGTCTGTATCACTTCTCTCACAGCCTTACTATCAGTTAATTATATTTTCCTATAAAAATAAGTTTCTTTTTCTGCTTGGTTTTTCAACAATATTGCCCACATCCCTAGAAGTCTATGAATCCCAATTTGGAAGCCACAGTTCTGTGACTGGGCTTTAAACACATGATTGGGATGCGTTGGTCAGCTTCTAGTTCCATTTACTAAGAAGGTTTCTCCCCACTTTGCAAGTGCCACTCATTTCTGATGAATATCACTTCTAGAATGGCAGCATATCCTGGTAGAGGGAGTGGATTTTTATTTTTATTATGATTATCTTATTATTTTGTTTAGTAGCAGCGATCGAACTCGGGACCTTGCACTTGTGAGCATTTGTTTGTTTTGAGACAGGGTCTCCCTATGTAGTTCAGGCTAGCCTTGAACTCACTATGTAGCTAGCCTAGACCAGCCTCCAACACGGTGATCCTCCTGCCTCAGCCTCCTGACTGCTGGGATTACAGGTGTGTGCCACCACACCCAGCAGGTGTGGGTTTTTGAACTCAAATACCAGTGTTCTAATCCTGGCTCTGTCCCTTGCAGCTAGGTACCTTGGACACATTATTGATTCTCTATGCTCACTTTCTTCTTCTGTAAAACAGGGATAGTAACAGTACCTCATATGGTGGTTGTGAGAATTATTATGAGTTAATATAAGCAGAGTGGTAAAGATAGAGCTGGTACACTGTAAGCACTCAAGAGCTGTTATTTTTTCTCATTCCTGTTTTTTACCTCTTCTACATTGAATAATTAATTGCTCTGTAAGTCTTCTGGTTAAGATTCTATCATTACATAAAGCAATCATATTTTTAAAACCCTATCATTCTGGATTACAAATTCTACAAAATACAGGCCTTGTCTGATTTTTGTTTCTTTAGTATCCACATAGGGTCGAGCCCAGGGTGATTATCGATTACTGAAAGAATGAGGCCATTAGCATCTGGAAAGAACAAGATCAGATTCTCTTATCATGATCTACTGTCATCGAGTTACTCACTAATCCAGGGAAAAACAAACTGTCGTTGCTTTTTAGTTGAACATTACTTACAATTAATTGTTCTACAGCCAGATATACAATTGTAGGCTCCCAAGGGCCACTCACAGTATGATAGGCAAATAAATATTGCTATGTATGAAGGAACTGGATCAAATGCTCTCTAGTTCTAGTTGTGTTAAGTTTGTATTTGTTTTAGCCATCTTTATATCACAAACAGGAACAAGCCTAATGAACTGAATAGTGGGATCACTTCAATGGAGTTTAATCTATCATTTATCCAATATATACTCACGGAGTGCCTGTGAGTAGAAAGGCTCACTTTAATGAAATTCTATTACATATTTGTTGAACAAATATGTACTGCATTGTCTACCAAGTGCCAGGTATAGTTTCAGGCACTAGGGATTTGGCCTTGTATCAGACAAGGTTTCTGCCTTCAAACAATATTTCTGTGAACAGCAAATAATGCCACTTAGGAGGTAAAGACCAGGAAAGTCTGATTAGCTGAGAAAATGTAACTATACCTTTGGCATTATGGCAAGCTGGAAATGTTTTGTCTTTGTAGGAGATCATAATAAGGTTGTTAATGTATGGATATAGACTGTGAATCAAAGTACATGCGGCATTTAAAAGGATTTTTATAGAAAGTGATCTCTTTTTAATTTAAATGGAGCAAACACAAGAGAGACTACATTACATTCTTCTGCCTGATTCCTACCGGCAGAACTAGGAGCTGTAGAAACTACAGGCACACTGAGCAATCAGTGTTCTCCTCAGGAGGTGCAACTGAGTACTCCTGAACACCCCACGATGCACAGCCCTGAATGCACGGCAAGGACAGTTATCACACAGAGCTGTCGGCTGTGTTACCTGTGGGAATTTGACAATGAGGTGGTGTGGAATGTTCATCACATTGTGCACATAATCAAAAGTCTTCGTGAGTTTCCTTTTATTTGCAGTTAGCATTTTTGGGATTCTGGTGATCATATGCTGAATTTCATTATGTTTAAAGCCAAGTTCAAGACGATAAACCTAAAAGAAAGCAAATATGCTATGCATCACGAGTAGAAAGTGTTTTGGTACTATGCCAGAGGACACATTCTTTTAAAATGACATTTTAAAACCTAGGAACAGCTATGTCAAAGCCCTCAGGGAATTATGGCTTCCTGCTTATGGGGTCACCTCAGTTAGAAAACCCTCTCCTGAGAATGAGGTTCTCACACCATGGTATCACCAGGAAGATCACCAGAAGGAGCATCATAAGTGTGAGATGAAATAACAGTACATAACGGCAGGCTGGGAAGGTGTCTGTACAGCTTGGACAAACTGAGCAGCATTAAGATTTTCCAAGTACTTCTTGAGCTTCTGCTTCCAAGCACACCCACATAAACGTTACTGAGAATTACATGTTGAATTCAAGAAAGTTGATAAAACTAAACACAACAGGGAGGAGGTCCTTCATGTACTGTCATAGTTCCCAGTGTTCCCCCACCAAGCCATTGGTCTGATGGCTCTGTACTTTAGCTCCCAGATTCTAGGCTCCATGAGGGCAGGAACTGTGTTCCCAGGAAGTGATTGCATATAAAACACATCAGAAATAGGCCTTACATAATTTCAAACACTACTCAAACTTTGTATAACAACTAGTCAGTTGCTTTGGGTTCCTACCAAAGGAAAAGACGAAGGACAGTAAAGAATGTCTGGCATGTCTGTGAGAGAACCAGAGCTGGCAACTGGCACAGGTTCCAAGGAGACAGATGTGCTTGCTGTTCGCTATTCCCTCTGCAAAGTCTGGAATGCAGCCTCCAAACTCCCGAGACACAGACACTCTCATGATGGGCACACGGAGCAGCGTCATAGTCTGCTAAGAGAGACTCGGACACAGCCAGCCTTGCATGCCAGGCAATCAGAGCAGTTTCCGGGTCCGCCCCATGCTTCTACATTACTGTAAGACTGTGGGCACAAGTGTCTACAAGGGAATTTACTCATGTAACACGTGTGGAACAGACCATTTTCTAAGAGAAACTGCTTGCTACATGTTTGTCATGTATGTTTCTATTACTGTCTTTCAGAAATGACTTCTTTTAAATTTTAGTTTTAAGATGACAATAGCAAAATCTATTCTCTTCGTGACAGAATGCTTAAAGAAACTGGATGTGCTTGCCCATCAACTGGAGACTGGATAAAGATATGGTTTTTTTAATAAAATGGAGTACTACTCAGCCATAAAGAATGAGAAACTAGAGACATTTATAGCTAAATGGATGCATATTGAGGCCATCCTCTTAAGTGAAATAAATAGGACACACGTGTAAATAC